TGAGCACATAGTGCTGCGTTTTGCAACCCTTTTCTTTCTTGTTTTTGTATGCCTGAATAAAGCCAAGAAAAGACAGAGACGGTGTTCTCCTCATTGTCAGTCTAGGTGCCAGCACACAGCTGGATAGTTAGATGTCCCAGTATAGGATAGGGTCAGACCAGCTCCACTCATCCGAACCAGTGGAGCGCCACAATATTATAGTGTAGAATTATTGTAATTGCCTAATATAAAGTGCAATTGTTGAATTCAGATTACATACTATGAACTGGCAAAGGTTTTTGTTATTGGAACCCCTGTGCTTCTACCCGGTCCGTGGAAAAATTTTCATGCATGAAACCGGTCCCTGGTACAAAAAAGGTTGGGGACCACTGGACTAGCTTAGCAGCATAGCTAGCCATAACGCAATGGAACCTCACAGGCTGGAAATGTGAATGAAGCCACACAACACTCCCCCCTGGAACCCCCTCACCTCCCAACCAACAGCCCCGTGCATTAAACCATTGGCTGTATATAAGAACCGGACAAACCCACTCAATGGGTCATCTCCACAAAGGTTTTGAATTCTGTCTATTGCCATATTGTAGCGCTTCACTCCACTTCACATATAGTCTCACACTCCATCATACTGGCTGCTGCTCCGGTTCTGTTATGTAGTACCACGAGACAGCTTTTTCCTCAGCATTTTAATATTGTGAGATCTCTTTGCACAGGATCTCGCCACACCCCTAGATCCCATTATGATTTTCTGCTCTTGGCTCCATTCAGGTTTGAATATTCTACATGATGTTTCTTTGTCCCTTCTCTCTGATCTAGTTTGAGTTCATGGTGGAGTCGGTCCTGCTGGCCCGGGACCGCTGGCTGAGGGAAGGTGGTGTGATCTGGCCTTCATCTGCAGCCCTCACCCTGGTGCCATGTCAGGCCAATAGCTATTACACAGAGAAAATTACCTTCTGGGAGCAGCTCTATGGTCTGGACTTCACTCCTCTTCAGTAAGGGTCACTAGTCAGCTGTTCTCAGTGAACACAGTCCTCTCTCTCTCTGCAACTGTCATAGTGAAAATACAGAATATCTTTTTTTTTTTCTTCAGAAAAAATTTTTAAAGGTCTGAAACTCAGATGTACTGTTTGAACATTTAATAGGATGTGCTCTGGTGTCAGGTCAGTGCCAGGTAGGGATGCTGTTTTTGCATGTTATTCACATTTGGCGGGATGATCCGTGTGTGACAGTCAGCAAAGAAGAAACGGCTATGGTAACCACTAGGGGTGTGACGAGATCTTGTGCAACAAGATTTCACAATATTGCAGTGACGTCCATTACCAGATGATTAGTTAAAAAATTTCAAAATGCATCTGCATTGTTATTTTGTGACTTTCAGTCAAATAAGACTATTTTCAAGTCATATTTTGTCATTGATTTCTTAAAAATCTCCATTCAAGCATGTACTAGGTATAAGCAAATTGATATTGGATTATGTGTAAAATTATGTGTTGTCATATCAACTGTTTTTACATGCTTGAAAGAATACATCAAATCAAATCAAAATGGTGTCAAAATGTCATCTCGTCTTGTTCTCATGAACCCAGTATCGTGTATCGTCTCATCTCATGAGCCAAGTGTATTGTCACACCCCTAGCAGCCACACTTGTGGAACAAGTGGACTCTGTGTAACTGAATCTACCAACTTCTTTGTATTTCTCCCTCTTGTTGCTCTGAAACATAATAGCCATATGACATATCCTGCTAATGCGAATTTAACAAGCATACTGGGTCAGTCTAGACCTTATTAAAAGTACAAGTAAAAAGATAATTGCTCATGTTTTTTTTATTGATACCTTTATTTGGAGCTTTCAGAGGTGAAGAGGTGAGGGCAGGCAGGTTGGAGTGGGTAGAGAAAGGTGTCAGGAGTGTTGTGTGACAGAAGAGTGTCAGCGAGAATCAAAGGAAAGGTGTACAAGACAATAGTGAGACCAGCTATGCCGTATGGGCTAGAGACTGTAGCAGTGAGGAAGAGGCGAGTGCAGGCGGGTTGGAGTGGGTGGAGAAAGGTGTCAGGAGTGTTGTGTGACAGAAGAGTGTCAGCAAGAATCCAAGGAAAGGTGTACAAGACAGTAGTGAGACCAGCTATGCTGTATGGGTTAGAGACTGTAGCAGTGAGGAAAAGACAAGAGGCAGAGATGGAGGTAGCAGAGATGAGGATGTTGAGGTTCTCTTTAGGAGTGACCAGGATGGACAGGATTAGGAATGAGCACATCAGAGGGACAGCTCAGGTCGGCTGTTTTGGGGACAAGGTCAGAGAGGCCAGATTGAGATGGTTTGGACATGTGCAGAGGAGGGATAGTGGTTATATTGGTAGAAGGATGTTGGAGATGGAGCTGCCAGGCAAGAGGTCAAGAGGAAGGCCAAAGAGGAGATATATGGATGTGCTAAAAGAGGACATGAAGTTAACTGGTGTGAGAGTAGAGGATGCCGAGGATAGAGTTAGGTGGAAACAGATGATTCGCTGTGGCGACCCCTAACGGGAACAGCCAGAAGAAGAAGAAGAAGAAGATTTCTAGCTTTCAGCTGCATCTTATAGTGTGGGCTTATATGCATAGTAGTATGCAGGAAGCAAGTGTTATCCTGTTTTTGATCATATTCATGATATGACATTTACATTAAACAAACTTGGGTATTTGTTTCTCTGTTTACAATATCTTAACAGTACCAAGGCTTCTGACTGCACCTCTCAGCCTGACTTCAATACTGACCGAGTTACCCCTAAACAAAGGTCTAAACTCTGCTGCAGTTAACATTTTGTGATTAAATGTCTTCATGTGGCACCAGTAACAGAAAACAAGAGCAGCTATAATTTATAATCTGCATTACCATAGTCAGATTTTCCCTTTATTTCAGTGTGTTTAACATTAACATCATTACATTATTTACCATAATATGTTTGTGTAGGTAATGTTACGCAGTTTGAGTTGATGATGCACTGATGTGTAGATAATGATCAGAAACCTGGTTATGGTGTTAATGTGTCAAAGTATGCTTGTCTCTCTTCGGAGTACTCCAGATAATGTATCCAGGTTTCTTTAAACTGGGATATGGGTTTAGTCAGATTTCTGAAACTAGAGATATGGTGTTTACATCCCCAGCTCATTAGTGGGATACTCACTTGTCCTTGTACGCACACTAATTGTTATCACTGGGTGAGTTTGCTCACTTGTTAAGCTGCTGGTATGTAACACAATCCTTAAGGCTTATATTATGCTACACAGGTAAAAACAGACCAGAGTTATGTGTTGGCAACCTACAGTAATGTCCCCATGTATCACATCTCATCTCTGCAGGCCTTTGGCACAGCAGGAGTTCTTCACCAAACCCATGTTCAACCACCTCATTGAACCCAGCGACTGCCTTGCTGCTCCCTGTGATGTTATCTGCTTGGACATGTACACCCTCCAAGTCAAAGAACTGGAGGTACTGGGTGTGTTTCATTATCACAAATGGCTCTGTTCCATACAAGCTGGATTTTGTAACTAATAAAGTATGGTTTCATTTCTCAGGAAATGAAGGGTCAGTTTCATTTCTGTGTGGAAAAGTCTGGTGTTTTCCATGGATTCACTGCCTGGTTTAGTGTTCGTTTCGACAGCCTGGAGACACGGGGCACAGCAGTGGAGCTAAACACCGGACCCAACTCAGAGTATGAAGCACCAAAGCTTTGTTCAACACTTATTCCCTCTGTTGTGCACTTATAATTTGAAGGATAATTTATTCACAAGTAGCAGCACTCTTGAGCCCTTACAGCAACTTTACGAGTTAGTAATTCAAATAATCACAATTTATGAGCGGTAAATCAATGAGTCAACTTTATTCACCAAGTGTGCAAGCGTACAAGGAATGTGTCACGTATAAATACTTTGGACTTTATAACCAGTGTCTGGGTTATAATTTTTGTAATACTCTTAAGTCTTTGTCTAAAAAGTCAAAAACTGTGATACATAAAAATATTAAGCAGACTCTTTTCGTTTCAGGCCGACACACTGGAAGCAGACTCTGTTCATGCTAGACATGCCAGTCAGTGTACATGCTGGAGACTCTATCAGTGGATCCATTTTCCTGCACAGAAACCCCAAGTGGAGACGCCACATGACAATCACCCTGAACTGGAACGTTAACAGCGGCACAGAGGAGCCAGACAACAGCCAGGCAAACATCTAATCTTCACTTTGCTCCATATCTGAGTGTTTCTTTGACTTTATCCTTTATGTGGTGGTAGGCTGTTTTATTATGTTACAGTTAATGTTTATCCATGCAATGTGACTCAGTTACAAAGTGTACAAGCCTCCCAAGAGTGTGGACACTTGATCTTTAACTTGTCAATGGTGTCCTTGGAGTTACTTATTTGTTTGTTTGTTTTATTTCCTTTCTGTTACCACAGGCAGAGACAAAGAGTTTCCCCATGTGGAGGTAACAGAGGCTCTCCATGTCAGCGGTGGAAATCCACAGAAAACCAGTCAGATACATCCTAACTTGAGCTTCGGGTCAGTGAGGTATCAGTTCAGATGCTGACCTATAATGAAGCGTAACTTCTGTTTTACAGTGAATCTGATGGCAGGAAATGTACTTTGATCAGCCTGCTAACTCCTGATAGGCCTCAGTGAACCAACACAGTGCAGGTTAGCAGAGAACAACTTGCCTGCTAAGAATCAACTGTGGAGCATTAACTTCAACTTACATGCTTACTGGGCTTAGTTGTGTTGACAGCTGATTGTTTTTAACATTTTTGGTCTCAGGTACAACAAAACATGTTTGTATTTTAATATTATTTTTCTTTGTTCCACCATAGACATTTAGTCTACATTGTAATTTGTACAAATGCTGGACATGCCTGTAGGCTTATATAGATAAAAAAAAAACAACAACAATTTTACCATAAATTAAAATGACTGTGTTTTTTTTTCTATGTTAACAGGTTAGTGAGCAATGTACACCAAAATGTTACTATTGTAAATTAACCTTATTAACTAAAATATGCATTTTGAACAGCCTTACAGTACACTGTATTACTTTATAAAGAACTGTTTACAATAAAATGAATTCTAAATAGCAACTTTACAATTAGTAAACTCACAATGTAAATGACAATGGCATTTTGCTTTTCATTTTGCCCCATGGTGTTTGTTTGTTTTTTGGGGGGGGATGACTAAGATGAAACTGTCCTGCATATGTTGTGTACTTTTATAAAAGTACACTTTTATGTCACTGCTCTGTTTTAATCTTTGCTTTGGACCTGGAGCGTGTGTTGACCTCTGCTGGTGAAGGCCGAGTGGGTAAGGATTCAGGGGAAGGAGGCCTGGAGACCGGAACAAACAGGGGGGGTTTAACAACTTTGAACTTAACCTCCTTGCTTTTATCCTTCTTCTGTCGCAAGTGTTTATCACAGTGGTTGACAAACGTGTCCAGCTTGACAAAGGTCTTGTTGCACACTTTGCAGTGATAAGGCCGCTGTCCTTTCTTGAGGCGTATGTTCAGCCTGATGTATGATGACCGTACAAACGTGCGGCAGCAGACCCCACACTTCAAATCGTCCTGGCTGCATTGTGTTCTCTGGGGCTGGTTTACTACTGGTGCACACTCTGGTTTGGCCTGCCCTGATGATTTTTCAGCCTTGTGAGAGAGGAGGAGTGACAGAGAGCGAAAAGCCTCACCACACTGTTCACACTTGTAGGGCCGCTCCCCTGTGTGCAGACGAACATGTGCCAGGAGCCCAGCCTTCTGGGTGAACGACTTGTCACAGTAGGTGCACTTGAAGGGCTTATCCCCTGTGTGGAGCCGACGATGGGTCTTCAGATGTGAGGCACGGCCAAAGGTCTTGCCACACTCAGGGCATTTAAATGGCCTCTCACCACTGTGGATTATCTTGTGTGCCATCAGGTGGGAGGACTGGTGGAAGAACTTACCACAAGTGCTACACCTGAACTTCCTCTCCTTGTTGTGGGAGGCCAGGTGAAGGGCCAAGTGGGCAGAGGAGATGAAGGTTTTGGTGCACAGGCTGCAGCTGTGAGGGTCCAGGCGAACACGCCTGTGTGGCCTTTGACCATTAGGGAGACTGTTGCCTGCCTGGCAGGACAGACATTTGGATGGTCGGTCTGTTTTGTAATGCTGCTGTCTAGGAGGGGCTGAAGTGTTCGGTGAATCAGGGTCATGCTGTGGTTGGCTGAAAATGCATCCACAGTCTGAGCAGTGGCCAGCCTCCTGGTCTCCATTACTGCTTTCATCTGGCATGGTGCCATCTACAACCATAGTGGGGGAGCACAGGTCCGCAGCCTTTGACACATCATAAGGACTTCTGGAAGCGACAAACACAGACGAACTGTTAAACCTTAGTGGTGCAGACATACAAAACACGTCCTCTGCTTATTAGTCGATCAGCTTTCTCACTGTGGTTGCTAACGGAGCGCAGCAGTATACGGGCATCCTAGACATAATACACCATAAGAGACATACGACTGTGACAACCACATAGCCTACACAGTATTATAATTAGCAGTTAGTCAGTTGTATTGTAGGCCTTGTGTAGCTCTAAACAATGAGGTGGTTATTCGGGGATGCGAGTAACGGCGCACAAACAAGCCATTTACATACCGAGCTCATTCTTCCTAAGTAAATGCGCATGTATTGAAGGTAGTTTTCTTGCAAGCGAGGTCGAACATCACAGTAAGAGCCATATCAGCGGGGACTGTTCAATCGCATTTTATGTCCTGTTTTCCTGCAAGAAGCTGCCTGCTGGTCTGATATAAATGGGCTGCAGCACGATCTAGCGACTGGCGGAGAAACTGTCTTAATATGACACTATACTGTATCTGAGAGTCGGTGGAGGCGCAAAAGACGCTGAATCATCCCGGACACAATATTACTGTGGTAGTCCTACTGTGTGCAAATAAAACAATGATGTGGAAGTTGTCATAATGGGCTCTGAAGTGCAGATGCTTAGTTCACTTCAATTCACCCAAAACACTCCCCTTGAGCAAGCCAGTTTCTTCCTCATTGACTGTTTCATTTCTTTGGTACTATCAGAAGAACCGCTACTGTTGGTCCTTTCATAAAGTTTCGTTTCCCATGAACCCCCGATTTCTAGGAAACGAGAGGAACCGGAGATGATGACTAGAAGCGGATTGGGCATCGCCAGCCTTTATATACAGCAGACCTGATCTAAGGACGTTGGTTTTGGATGAACTTTGCAGTCGCGGAACTGATGCGACACTTCAACAAACATGACTGAGGTAATGTGGTTTCACTACTGCATCTTTATCAGCATTTCCGAATGAGTTAAAGCAAATTCAGAGCATTCAGTAAAAGCCAGAGTAATGTGGGGCGTCTCAGTGCAGTGTTGTTCCGAGGCTGTTGTGTTATGGGGGCAAATGTGATTCTTCCATTATCCAGGCAATTCTAAAACTGGTTAAACCTGCACAATAGAACAGTTTTTAGCGCTACAGATGGGAAAATCTTAAACAATGGTAGTTTTGAGCAAGTCCACAGGTCTGTGCAAGCAGCTGTTGCAAGTTTCGTCCACAGTAGGCTACAACAGGCGTGACTCATCGATATCAATATAATGAATTTTATTTGATTTCTCATCTTTTTGATTATGTCGTGGCATTGCTAACAAGATCAGTTTTTTTTTTTTTTGCTCCCATCTAGAAAACATTTTTAAGTTGTTAGAAATGGATTTCAGGAGTTGCAGTTGTTTTATTTACTGTTAGTATTATTTTGCTTGTATACAATAAGGAATTTTGTAAGTTTTCAGGTTTGCAAATTTTAAAGCACTAGAGCAAATATTCAGAAGAGTGTTAACTTGTTTATGAGGAATTTCATCAACATCTCCAGTCTGAAGTGTTAATAAAGCCACACCAGCTTCAAGCCACAGTGATTCTGTTTGATGTGGTTAAGAAGGGAGGTTTGTTCTGCATTGCTTTAGTCACTCTGGCTCTCTTACAGAATCTGAACCAGGAAGCATGAGTCTGAAGACAAAGAAGAAATCTAGGTGAGTTTGGCATCCATCTATTTTTACTTCCTTTTGTTGGCTCATTACAAACACAGGCAGACCAGATTGCTCTATTGTGACAGTATTAAGTGGAGACTGTTACAGGTAGGGTTGGCAATACTGGAAAAATCAAGAGGAAGCTCAATTTTGAAAGGAGACAACTTAAGAAATCCCACCTGCTGCTGTGGGTACCTTTTCTTGCTAGCTTTAGGTGTCAAAATAGAGTGGTAATGTCTGTCTGCAACTCTAATGCCTTGTGGGATATTCTTGGCTCTCATGCATTGAGTGCAAGGCAGAGTGCATGTATGTAAGTAGGAAGTTAGGTTGACAAGCAGGTAAGCCAACCCAACGATTCGATGAGAGAAACTGACAAAGTAGCAGGGAGGCATGCCTGTGCACTTTTTTTAAACAAATTAAAACAATTGGTGTAACTTTGAAAACGAAGAAAGCTCATGTGTACTACTAGTGGGTTGGGGACTGCTGGGCTAGCTTTTTAATTTTGCTTTTGAGAGGACAAAGTCATACAGTATACTTGTGAACATTATGACTCCGAGTCCATTTTACTGACCAAACCATTCTGCTTTGGCCAACAAGAATTCACCTAGTATCATCTGATTTTAAGTGAAACCCTTCAACTTTATGGCTAAACATGTAAGACAGATGTACAGCACATGTCAAACCAGACTCTAACACTGGTTTTTCCCACCGTAAGTACTTCAGGAAAACCCTGTGCTAATTAGAATTTTAACTAGTTTCTTAAACTTTATTCCTGCT